CAGCCAATATGGGGTGGTAACAAGTAAAATCTGCCTGATTTTAAAGCCTGCAACTTACCAACAAGTCTGTATCTTCTTCTGAGCCCTCAAAATGAGACATATCAGAAAGCTTATAGTTAGTAAACCCGAACAATTTGCAGGGGTGTATTTTATCTGTACAGTCAGCTAAGTGTGTTGAAAAGCTTTTAAACAGCAATTAAAGAGACATCCCATGAAATACCTGAGAAGGCACTCAGCACACGGATTTCCACAGAAGTTATTATTATTGTTAAAAATAGTTGCAGGTTTAATCTTCCATATAAGATCCCCTGTTGGTTAAAGCAGAGGCAGTCTGTTACCTCTGTTATGATTTGTATCTTAAAATGAAACCTACAGCTGCACTTGTAGGAAAGGGATGGGATAAAAGCACAAGAATCAGATAGTGCTCAGGGCATTTAATTAATGTTAGGTGGTGTTGTAAGGCTAAAATGTATTTTTATTTAATTTAATTTAGGGGAAGTTTGAAGTGTGCTAGCAGAAGACAAGATTTGTTAGGGGACACACTTACCTGTTCCGCAAGCACAGTGAGCACAGCACCAAACTGCCATAGGCTTCAGTGAATTTCTGCAGAGCTCTCAGTCCTGTCACTGGCTCTGTGAACTTTTGTCTTGCTTCTGCTGCTGAAAAGAGCTTTTCAGCAATCTGCTCTGGGAAACCAATCAACGAGTCAATGTGATCTACATTGTCAGAAATGTAACCCAGCACTAGGCTGAAGAGGGACTTGGCTGAGTAGCGGAGGTTCCCCTCCTTGGTGTAGGTGAAGATGAAATGATCAGTCCTCTGCCTCCTTGCCCTATCATCCTCCCTGTTCATGCAAAGCTCCACTGAAAAAGTTCTGGAAAACAGACTGAAAGGTCTTGCTTTGGGAGTGACATTCTGTATGCTGCCTGCACCCCGATTTACCACATGCAGCTTCCCATTTTCACGCACGTATATTGGCCCAGTATCCAAATGGCTTTCTGAGTGGAGACAGTACGACATTCCCCTCGATCAGCTCTGTAAAAACAAATCACAGACAAGTGAAGAACAGCCACAGTCAAAAACATGACCTAGGGAAGCCCCCAAAGCTGGCAGCTCCCCTTAGAGCCCTGAGCATGGCCACGTAGCAAGGAGGGCAGGCTGTGTGGAGCAGGGGCGTGAGCTGCCTGCCACCAAACCACCCACCCCATCCGAGTGGGAGCTGGACCCCGGGCTGGCTGAGACCCCCGGGATAGATCCCAGGCCCGGGATGGAGACAGGGCAGCGCGAGAGGGGTTGAGTGGGAAGTGCCCGCACAACCAGGCCTGGTTCTGCTGCAGGCAGGAGCAGGAGAAGAAGGAGGAAGAGGAGGGCACATGTCTGACTGCAGCTGGGCAATGGAGCCTGCTGGAACCTCCCTCCCGGGGAGGGTGGGCATCTCCCGGCGCCCCTTCCCCGGTGCCGGGGGGCTCTGGCTGGCGAGCGGGTCTGGGGGGGGGCAGGAGAGCTCAGACCTGCCCTGGCGAGGGGCAGGGCAGGGACAGGATCCTCTCGCCTCCCGGCCGGCGGGGCTGGCGAGCGGGCCCTGCCCCAGGGGGGCCGGGGGTACCGGGACGGATGGGGAGCCGGGTGCGAAGGGATCGGGTCCAACCCGGAGAGGAGCTGGGAAGGGTCTGCGAAGGGATCGGGCTGTGCCCGGGGCTGAGCGCGCCGTGAGCGGGCAGAGCCCCGAGGGGCACCGGGGGAAGAGCACCGGGGGAAGGGCACCGGGGGAAGGGCACCGGGGGATGGGGCACAGGGGGAAGAGCACCGGGGAAGGGGCACCGGGGGAAGGGGCACCGGGGAAGGGGCACCGGGGGAAGGGGCGCAGGGATAAAGGGCACCGGGGGAAGGGTCCCCACCCCGCCCCTCCCCGCCCGGGCAGGGAGGCCAGAATCCCGCTGGTTCCCCGATCCCCCGGCCGCCACCTACCTGCCCCGGGAGGGGCCGCGCCGTCAGCCGGGCCGGGGCTCGGCGCTCCCGCCCCGCGGCGCCCGCGGGCGGCGGGCGGGGCCGCGCGGGCGGCGGGCGGGGCGCAGCGGGGCCCGGGGCAGCGGGGCCCCGCCCGGCCAGCGGCGGGCCCGGCTCCCCGCGGCGGCCCCGCCCGGCCAGCGGCGGGCCCGGCTCCCCGCGGCGGCCCCGCCCGGCCAGCGGCGGGCCCGGCTACCCGCGGCGGCCACGGCCGCAGGGGAGGAGCCGCCGCGGTTGCCCGGGAGCGGCAGCGCCGCGGCGGGCGATGGGAGCCGCCGACTGGTGCCGGAGCTCGGCGGGGGCCGCGCTGGTCCTGGCCACGTCCAGCGATGCCGAGCACCCCGCCGAGAGCGTGGCGGACGGGTGAGGGTGGCGGGGGCGGCGGGAGCGGAGCCCGCCGGGCGCGGCCCTCGCTCTCCCGCTGGAGCCGCCGCACGGCGGGAGAGCTCGGCGCCCGCCGCCGCCGCAATCCTGTGCGGGGCCGCCCCAGAGAGCGGCCCCGTCCTTGTACAGGGCCCTGCTGAAAGCACCCCTAATAAAAATGCATCCCCCTTCCTTTCCCCCCTCTTTCCCCTATTCCTTTTCGTCCCTCTTCTTCCCTTCCTCGCTCTCCCCCTGTTTTTCCACCCTTTTCCACCCTTCTTCCCCTCCGCTTTTCCCCTTCCTTTCCACTCCCATGTTTTTCTGTGGTATATTTCATTCAAGATGGTTATAGATGGAAAGCTTCAGTTGAGGATTTTGTTCTGTTCTCTCTACAGAAGTTCCAAAACATTTTGGACGACTACGGGCATGTTCCCACAGGAACTGATTATTGGATTTCCCAAATGTGTAAAAATCAGCAAAGTCGCCATCCAGTGTTATTTGGGTAAGACTTTGTGTCTTGCCATAGGAAATATGTGCTATATTAAAATGTGTGTCTGTGCCTTAAAAGTTCCCACAGTAGTGTCATAGTCGGTATGTAGCCACTTTTAAGAGATTTGTAAACATTTAATTTACATAAAGATTTAATTTTGCATAAAGATTCATTTTCATAAAGCAATTGTCCTTTGTATCCACAATCCCCATAGCGTAGAGAAAAAAAAAATTAGTTAATGCTCTGAAAGTGTTTTGTGGTTGTAAAGTGATGGAATAGATATCAGTGTCAATAAAGAATCAGAACTTGTGTTGATATTTTGAATTGATATATATTTTAGTGCGGACCTTAAGGATTGAAAGAAGCACATCTAAGGACCCTGTGGGTTTTGAACAATGTGTTGAAAAAGGTAAGACTGAGTTTGTGGGCTTTTTGGGGGGCAATGTTTTTTTCAGTGAATCACTGTAACCCCTCATCTATTTGTTGAGTAAAGTGTGGGGTGATGATTATTTTATTAGACATTAATGTAACAGTCACATTTAAGTGAATTTTTTAACTGCTGGTCTCTGCAGCAGTTCAGAGAGTAAACTGCTGTATAAGGGCTAAAAGTGCTACTTGTGCACTTTATGTTCCAAAAATTAAAAACAGGCTTACATAGTATAATAGAGTGCCATTTCCTGGATTGTTTGGCTTGGGGATTGGCTTTTTTTAGTGCCTCTTGGGTGACTTTGTTATAACACTGTAATGAGTGGGATGTATATATACATACACAGACTGGGATACTGCAAAAATGTATTCTCTTAAATCACCTGTAAAAATAAAAAAGAACAATGTCTATATGTAGCGTAAATTCATTGTCCTTGAACTCACTTGAACTCTGAGTCCAGTGAAAACTTCACTGCATTGCACATTGTTCTTCATTGTTTACCTTAAAATATATTTTGTAGATTTGCAGCACAGAGAAGGACAGCTCCAAATGGAAGAATTTACAGTGAGTATTTGCAGTGTACATCAGTAGTGGTTCATGAAATGGCATGTCTGGATTGAGTGGGGAGAAACCATAAAGAAACCAAATGTGTCTCTATTTACAATTATTGCTCAGTTGGTGTTAAAGGGAGGAGTCTGTAGATTGTGGTGTGAAATTGCACTTCCCAGCTGCTCCTCTGTAGATTATGCTATGAAATTGTACCTGCCTAGTGCTCCTAATGAGGTGCAAGGGCCCTTTCCAGAAATGTGGCAATTTCCTCTCCTTCATTTGCTGCCTTTAAGGCTACAGAATTCAGGAGGTGATGGGATTTTTTTGAGTTGCAGGTCAAAGAACTTGATTTATGTGCAGTTCAAAAAGGAACCCTGAAGTACCCAGATCCTCGTGTTTAACAAACTTTTGCAAATGTGCTTTGGTGGTTTTGTTACTACAGAGGATGCAATGACATTTTATTCCTTCTGCAGCTTCCTGAGTTCCAAGCCACTTACTTGCGCTTCATCATCAAATCTGGCTTTGATCACTTTGTGTCAGTGCACCGGGTGATGGCAGAGGGCACAGCAGAGAACACTTGAGCCCAGCTTAAGTTTGGGCCCCCACTTTATTTTTTGATAAGGAAGTTAAATTTCAATACCTGCACTGCAGAGAATGTTTATTATTAGAACCTTGTATTAAAGTGTTTTTTGAAGGTATGGATGTGGTATATATTCCTTGCTGGTTTAATGTATGGAATAGGATAGAAGAATACAGATAATAAGATCATCAAGTCCAACCACAACACAGTGCAGTTGTTAATTGTAGTAACAGCTTTTTCATTTTGTAACCTGAACTGTCAGCCTGGAACACCTGAGCGTAACTGAGTCCATTTAAGGTAGTGTATTTGTATCAGGTTTACATAATACATTAACTAAAACTTAATTTCCTGTAAAATATTTCCCTTGCACTCTGAGTTAAATAGGAAAAAAAGTTTGAGCTACTTAAGTGGGATGTATTACTTCCACTGTCAAACAAGTTCTTCAGAAGTCCTTAAGTTGCTAACTCTCTGATCAGCTCAAACTCAGAGATTGTTAGAATGAATATAAATGTCTGCTAATGCTTAGAAATAACCTGGGGGAGAGAGGCAGGGAAGGAATGGAAATAATCAGAATCCAAATGAAGTGTTTTGATAGGCTTTTAATAATTATACATCAGTCCCTTGTTTCTATAAATATTCTCTAGAATCAGGTCACAGCCACCAGTGCTTTAGGCTGGGACCATCATAACAAATACTCATAGAAACAGATGCTGATAGAGATTGTCTTGCTCAGAAGCCTCCTGAAGTCAGTGAAAGGGAACATTTTATATATACAAATGCAATGTGTATAGTAATGTGAAATCAGTTGCTTTGCATGCTAGTGGACTCTTGGAAATGTCACCACCCTGAAGTTTATCTTGCAGGATATTTATAACAAATATAAATGTTGGTATCCAGAGCTCAATGGACTCAGCTCCCACATTACTGAATTTGGTATAAGAGTAGTAATTTACTGCAGAACAGAAGTTGGTGTTGTAGGGATGATACCTGAAAGTTTCTGGGCAAACATAATAAACCTCATTCCAGGTGCTCCTTGCATATACAACAATGCATATACTTGCATATACAACATTCTTCTTCTTGTCTCTATGGCTGTTTTTAAATTCTGTTTTTTGTTCCTTAGATGTAGATCTGTGATAAATTATTTTTGAACTTCTCTGTCCAAATAGTTTTTGCTTCGAAGTCTTCTTTTTTATTTCAGTTTTTCTAGGATGGCACGTATTTCCTGGGGGTGGTAATTCCAAGGCCCCACTCCTCCCTGCAAAGGGAATAAAATGACACAGGGATGCTCAAGCAGACAGAGCAGAAATCCTTCAGAGCACAGCAGCTGCACCAGAACGGTGGGCAGGTGTGCCTTGGGCTCCCTTTCCACTAGAGCCATCCCTGGGAGATGGTTATGCACTAGTTACACCCTGCTGTGTCACTGGGACAGAGCCAATGTCTGAATCCTGGAAGTGGGAAGTGTTCCTGGATTTCACAGCTTAGATGTACCTCGGGTTACTAGTGAGCCAAAAGATAAATATTTGAGCAAGACTGAGGTGTACATCAAATATGTACATTATAAAGGCCCAGACTGGTTTTGCTGCATTTTCGTTTCTCTCCACATTTACAGTGCATTGTGAAATGTTTAGGTCTCAAACAGAATGAAATACTGACTGTTAAATGTAAAGCAGTCTCAAGTTACCTTGAAATGTAAAAATCTCTCTATACTGTGCTCATTGCTACTGATATTTTTTACCTTGTAGATGACCTTCCCTCCTTGAAGCACGTAGAGTCGCTCTGGCAGCGCAGCATATTTTGAACTGCTCAGGTTTTCCATAGTGTCTAAAACCACTGGACATAAAGGGTGACTTTTCTGAAGAAATTGTGCTGCAATTTTTCGATCTTCAAGGCTTCTGTGATTTTTAATAATGACATTGTTTTTAAAAGCCCATCCATCTAAAACAAATAAGGAAGGGATTTAGCAGTGAAGATTTTGAATAGGTGCAAGAGTGGGTATGTATTGTGTGTCATATCCCAAAACTAGGTTAAAAGAATTTTGCAGTTTATTCTTAACATCAAAACTTGCCATGAAGTGAAAGCCCCCCTCAAATTATGGCAGCACTATAGCTTTCCAATAAGTGATCCTAAGATCTGTTTTTTTTTTCCCTCATCAAACTGTATTTTCCTCTTGCCCTGGATTCAGAAATATTTGATGGATCTTAGCTGAAATTCTCCCACATAGATCTACCCTAGAAAGACACCAGGTGGGGAACATGTATTGGGTAAGGTTTGTCAGTGTTAATTTTGGTTGATGGTACTCATTAAGCCTATAAACCAAAATTACAGGTCTGTGAGAAGCGAAATGTGAGCCAGGACACACCTTTGTTTTTCAGAACTATGCAAACAAACACTGGCACACAACTCTTCCCAGTAAAGTAGAAACTAGTAAAAGGGTTTCATGACTGACTTAGTCATTAACAGATTCTCGGTTGTTGAAAATGACATATTGCTACAAAACTATAAATTTTAGGTTTTAGAAAAACATTTAATCCTGGGTTAAAACCAGTGCCAATGTGTTACTTAGAATCCCGTGTAGATAAACAAGTGTGGTTTGTTTGCTTGCTAAATTTTTCAAATTGGAGTCTGCATCCTGTTCTTGGAAAATACTAAAAACTAATTTTTTGTCCTGTTAACACATTGTACACTTAACTTTTGTTCTATGAAATGTCTTTTCTTCCTCTTTCCAAAAGGAGCTGTACTAACATTGAGAAGCAATTGTTAAAAGCTACAACTGTGTCCTTGACATGAGTAACTCAGTGTAAAGTCAGAAGTGTAAGTAGAATCTTAGGAGAATTAGGGACACAAACTGTTGCCTAGATGTGGTGTTGCCACTTGATTTGAAGATTCCTGTCTCGTTTGCAGCTCCTTTGCTGGCACACTTTTTTTCCCTAAAGGAAGTGACATGTTTGAAGCTGTGGTTGGCACCACTGTGGTGTTTTAATGTACCTATGGCATGAGCTTCCTCAATGTAGATGATAAGGAAATCTGCTATTGAGCTGAAATCTTTGATGAGCTTGTTGAACTCATCAAATTTTAGCATAAATGAAGGTCAGGTGCAACTTCCAAAGTTCAGGATTAAAGGTCGGTTATCTGGGAAAAAAAAAAGAAAAAGTTTTGTGATTAAGTGAAGGGAGGAAGGACAGAATTAAATACACTGAACTGAACCTCTGGTGGAGGGATTCTTGTACAACACTAAGTGACTTCATAAACTTCTCCTAGATCAGTAAAATCAGCAGCAGAACCTCTGCATCTCTGCAAAGCAGGCATAAAGGTGTTTTTCCTAGTCTGGCTCTATCTGTGCTGCATCCAGCAAAGAGTTTACCTGAGAGAACCCTGTCCAGTACAGGCAGTCACACAGCTTCTCTTTTCCTCATCACAAGAGCAAATTTGCAAGTTACCAACATTTTTGGGATTGGTTACTGATCCAGAATGGGTATTTCAGCCTCCCTGAGATCCTTGGTATGCAGCAACATCAAAAATCTCAAATGTGGCCTTCTGCAAGGTCATCCAGGGACAGTGGTTCAGGGGTGGGCATTGAGGACAGAGTCCCAGTGCCTTTTCGTGTCCAGGTTTTTTTAGGTGTGTCAGTTCAAGCTGAGCTGAGGGGAAACTGTAGACTTTTCAGTCATGCATCACAGGCTTTCATGCTTTCAATGTATTTCTGCAATTCCTGTCCAAACAGAACTCTGGTTATATATTATTATTGAACTGATCTTACACTGGCAAAAGTATCTGCACTTGCTTACAAATTAACACAGTACTGTGTTTGTGTTGGCATCTGTTTGCAAGGCCTTGATTTAAGAGAGCTTGCAGGATTTTTAAGCACCTCTTTTAGTCTGGTTATGTTAAATTCCATTGAATTTGTTCAAGACCTTTCTGGCATGGCTTAACTTAAAAGCTGCTGCTAACATAGATCCACATCCTAAAGAATTAAATAACAGTGGTGCCTTCCTGTAGATACTATGTATCTCTTCTCCGAATTTGCAGCCCATTTTCAACATAAATATCTATATATAATTAGGGAAGCAGAGTGAGAGAAGGATGTAATCCCTCCCGTGGGGATGGAGGCTGCAGCTTAATGATTAATTTCACATTCTGCTGGGATCTCAGTGGGAGGCAGTGGACAAAATACAAAGCAGCTACTTCTGCTTTATTCCCAGCCACTTTAGATCAGGAAAAACCCACTGTGTGCTTTCTAGGCTTTAGGCTAGCTAAGGGGGCTGGTGTGGAATTTTCTGTGTGGACAGGGAATGACAGCCAACACTCAGGAATCATTGCACACGTTTCAGTTCTGGGTCTTCTTTCCCTAAAACAAATTATTACCTTGGCTTTCAGCAAAAAGCGTTTCTAGGCAGAGCCAGCTCTTGCAAAAGCTCTGTGGTGTGAAGGGATAGCATAGACAGGGTGATAAATGCAGGTTGTTTTTCACAACCACGAAGCAGCTGGAGTAAATGTGCTGCATCTTCTCCAGCAGGTGAGTGCTGGTGGTCTGCACATGATGCACTCCAGTGCCAGCTGCCTGTCCCTGCTCCCTCAGCAGCATCTCCTCATTCATGCTCTCAGCAAACCCAGCCCAGCTACTCAGTTACTGACCTTTCATGAAATCCAGGAGGTGACAAACTTCCCCACCGAGGGTCACCACGTGAGTGTTGGGAGCAGGATGTCCTTCGTAGGCTTCATCCTCCAGCCTCTTCCACTTCACCTTCAGCACAAACTGCAAATACTTGAAGCTGAAGAAAGTTGGGCCCCAGTTTTCGTAGCTGAACTTTGGATTCTGGTTCATTCTGCTCTTTTCTCCCATCTTTAGGATATATCTTTTCATGGCGTTGGGGAACAGTATCATCAGTGTTTTGCCCACAACAACAGTCAGAGTAACCTGCAGAAGGATCAGGATTTTCTGTAGCACTCCCCTGATGCCTGACATCATGCTGGGGAGGTCTGGCCGCTCGTGATGGGAGCACAGTGCTAGGCAGGGGCAAAGGTAGAGGGTGAGGGGGAGGGAGAACGTTGACGTGTTTGATTGAGTTTCTGCCTTGCCTTGCTGTCCTCTTCCTGCACTTCAGCCCCTGTGTGAGCAAGGATCCTGCCAGCCATGCTCCCTCCAGCTGCACCAGAGGCATCAAGTGCAGCCAGGGTGGGGGTGAGGTGCTCACTGCAGAGCTGTGAGGATTATCCACAAATGTGGTCTGTGCTGTACAAATGAGGGGAGCTGGATCAGGGTGTTCTCCCTGAATCCCAGAGTAAAGGCTTGAGGCCTTGGGTCATGCAGATGCAAACAGTGCCCTGTTCTTTCTGCTCTGGGGCTCTGCTGCACTCCAGGGTTTGGCATTTTGGGGCTGAAGGATTAAAAAAAAAGTGTGTGTATGTATATATATATATATATATATATATATATATATATATATTGCAGTATATGTAATATCCAGCTGGTCTCCTGTCACTGTCAAAGCAGGACGGGAATGAAGAGGCTCTGACTCAGAAGGCTGTTGAGAGTAAAACTCTGTTTTTATTCATAATACACTGCTCTTTTATACAGAGCTCCGCAAGGACCAAATCCATTGGTTCTGAAGTGAAAACAACCCACCACCATTGGTGCAGAGTGCTTGACGCACAGTGATAGAACTTAACTATAAAAAATGTGAAAAACAAGAGAGATAAAGAATTATTTACATTCTTTGCCAGCTCTTTCCCAGGCCTCTGCCTGGCTAGAAACTCTGTTTCTTCCTTTGAGTGAATCTGAGTCCCACAGTCTCCAGCACAGGAAGGACATGGATCTGTTGGAGCAAGGCCTCAAGAACCCACCAAGATCAGAGGGATGCTGTGAGAATGGGCTGGGAGAATTTGGATTGTTCAGCATGGAGAAGAGAAGGCTTTGTGGTGACCTAACTGGGACCTTCCAGCACCTGAAGGGAGATGAGAGATGGAGAGAGGCAAGGCAGTGACGGGACAAGGGGGCACGGCTGCAAACCGAGAGGGCAGGTTTAGAGTAGGTATGGAGAAGAAATTCTCTCCTGTGAGGGCGGGCAGGCCCTGGCACAGGGCGCCCAGGGAAGCTGCGGCCGGGCCTGGATCCCTGGGAGTGCCCAAGGCCAGGCTGGACACGGGCTGGGACCAGCCCGTTCTGGTGGGAGGGGTCCCTGCCATGGCAAGGAGCTGAAACCAGATGAGCTTTAATGTCGCTTCAAACCCAGACCGTTGTGTGTTTCTGATCACCCACAGACGGCAGCGCCGCCGCGCTCGGGCTGCCGCGGGCCCTTTAAGGGGGCGGGCGGGCGCGCACGCGGAAGCGCCGCGCGGGCTCTGATTGGTCGGTGCCAGCCGCGTCGCCGGCGGGGCTGTTGCTCCCCGATGGGAGGGGGCAGAGGGGCCCAGCGGCGGCGCTGATTGGCTGCGGCCGCGCGGCGGTCGCGGCGCCTTTAAGGGAGCGGAGCGGCGGCTGCGGGGCCGCGGCGGTGCCGAGGTGCGGGGCGGTCCCGGGCCGGGCCCGGGCGGGCCGCGGGGCTCGGGGGCGCGGCCGCGGGGCGCAGCGGCGCTGGCACGGGGCGGGGACCTGTCCCAGCGCTGCCCCTGTCCTCTTGCAGGAGGGTCGAGCCCGGGGAGCTGATCCTCGCCCAGGCGGATGAATGGCGACGGCGGACGACCTCAAATTCCAAGGTAAAGGCGGTGTCGCAGGTGCGGGCGCGGGGCCCGAGCCGGGGGAGCCGTCAGGCGCTGGAGGCTCTGGGAGCGTCTCTGGGCGTTCGCGGAGTGAAAACGTCCCGGGAGTTTTGTTTGTGGGGTCAGGTGTCCTGAGCCTTCTGAGACGGAACTGTGCTGCTGGCGAGATAAAAAAATGTAACCGGTGTTGACGGAGACTGTGGGCTGAAACCCTTTGTGGTACCTAAGTGACAGCTGGAAAGGGGCAGAGCGCTCTGAGACCTGCAAAAGGCGCCGGTTTCCGACTTCTGAATTCTTCAATAAAAATTTCAAGTCGAGTTTTGGAGAATATTAAAAGTACCCATTTCTCTAGTGAGGCGGCTTTCCTTTTCCCCTTGCAGGGACCTGCTGGCCCTCGGGTCGGGGCTGCTGGCAGGCTCCAGAGGTGCCAGTGTAACTTCCTGCAGATGGATTGGCAGAAAAAGCGGACTCACACCTTATTTACTTACTAAATGTTCAACTTGATCCGTCTTAGTTTGGACTTTAGGAAACAGGTCATACCCAACATGCCTAAGCTAGTGGTTATTCTGTCTCAGGGTTTTTATGTGTTTATTTGAGCCATGAGAACAAAAATTTTAGTGTCTTGATCATCGCCTGTCTTGTAATGTACTTATTTGCAGAATTTGACGATGCAGCTAATTTGCTTGCAGCAAATCCTGATGCCACCACCATAAGCATTGATGAACCAGTTGAAATCCCCAAGAATCAGCACAGCCACCGGCAGGAGCCAGGGAGGGAGGAGGATGATGAGTTACTGGGCACTGATGACTCCGATAAAACAGAGGTAATGCTCTCAGCCCTATGGTGGAGGTATGTGAGAAAGATGGAGAGGGACTTCTTACAAGAGCGTGTAGAGAACAGGACAAGGGAGAATGGATTCAGACTAAAAGAGAAGAGGTTTAGATTGGATATTAGGAACAAATTCTCTCCTGTGAGGGTGGTGAGGTGCTGGCACAGGTTGCCCAGAGAAGCTGTGGGCCAGGCTGGGGCTTGGAGCAACCTGGGATGGTGGGAAGTGTCCCATGGCTGGAGGGTGGAATGAGATGTTATTTAAGGTCCCTTCAATCACAGGCCATTCTGTGGTTCTGACAGCAGAAGGACCTTGTCATGTTGATGTGTGTTCCAGATGATGTGGCAGCAGGTAGTAGCAGGCTGCTCTTTACAACCTCAGGCTGTGGTTCTGCCTATGGGGAGATAAGAGATGGGCTGTCTACAGCTGTTGGAGTGGAACAGGGAAACCATTACATAATCCATAGGAAGCACTACCCTGTTAAGTTTGTTTTCCATTTAGGTACCAAAATAATGTGACTACTGTGTAAATGAGCTAGTAATGTATAAATTGTGTGCTTGTAACACTTTCCATGTTGCCTTTCTCCCCCTCCAGCTGCTTGCAGGACAGAAGAAAAGTGCCCCTTTCTGGACTTTTGATTACTACCAGACCTTCTTTGACGTGGACACATACCAGGTTAATACTCTGCTCCAGAGGAGAACTGTTGTCTGAATTTTGCCTTATCCATTGAGGTTTATTTCCTTCTTGCATTGTCAGTCAGACAGATCCTTATGTTTCACAGGTCCTGGACAGAATCAAAGGGTCAGTGTTCCCAGTCCCTGGGAAGAACTTTGTAAGGCTGTATATCCGCAGCAATCCTGACCTTTATGGTAGGTGTGAGGTGGGAGAAGTTATTTTCTGTGCCAAGTATTTTGAGTCTGCATTACCTTTTACTTGCTGGCTTGAGAAAGCAAGAGAGCAGAGGAAGTGCTATTGATTTTTGTTTCCTTTTAAGGTCCATTTTGGATATGTGCTACACTTGTCTTCACCATTGCTGTTAGTGGCAATCTCTCAAACTTTTTCATCCATCTGGGCAAACCAACGTACCGCTACGTGCCTGAGTTCAGAAAAGGTTTGTAAGTAGTCATTTGTGGGGCTTTTTTGGTTGTTTGGGTTTTTTTTTGTCTTTTTTTTTAATGTGCAAATGAGGTGATATAAAACCAGGTCATGGCTTTGATTTAGCACAAGTCTTTTGATTGCTGTCTTTAAATTTTTAGACCTGTGAAACCAGCCCTTATGATGGGCTGTGACTGGCAAAATCCTGTTTCTTCAGAGCATAAGCTAGTTTTGGAGTTTTAGAAGAGCAAGCAGGAGTAATTAGTTATTTTCTAGCCTTAGTGGATGTCTCCTTGTACAGAGAGTGAAAGCCCAGCACTGGCCACTGTGGTGCTTTGGTGGGGTCTTCCTGGATCTGTGGCCTCCCAGAGCCTGCAGGCCTCAGGCAGAAAATTACCAGATCAGATTATCACTGATACCACCTACCAAGGGCTGGAAGTTGTTACCTTCTGGCAAATTAAAAAATGAGCAAAGGATGCTCAATTGATTTGTTCCACAAAGAACTAGAGTGAGGAGCCAGTTTGTCTACATCTGTTTTTATATTATGAGAGAGGCTGCTGTCCCTGCAGAGGAACACAGCTTCTCCTTTTTTCCAGAGTCCTTAGTGTACTGGGAAGAATGTTGCCACTTGGGAATGCAGTCACTTGGATATTCAGATTTGATACTAGCTATTAGTAGCTGAATTTCTGTTTTTAACTAAGTTTTTCCTGCCTCTGTGGCTTTTCATTTCCAACTGAAACTGACAGCATTTTGTACCCAGGCGTAATAAAGCAATTGAAGTTACCTAGAGATTTTTTTTCAGAAATCTTTACTTTTAAACTGACTTGAAGCACTGGCAGAGTACTGGGTGTAAACTAGATACAAATGCAAAGTTTTCAGTTTATTAATAATTCAGACTTCATCTTTTGGAATTATCTTCCCTGGTAGCTTTCTAGTTTTCATGCTGAATACTTCTACACCTTTGATTCTGGCAGGATTCAAAGTAGAACATTAAACCCTTTGTTGTGTTTTCAGTGTCCATAGCAGCTACAACGATATATGCATATGCTTGGCTTGTTCCCCTTGCTCTCTGGGGATTCCTGATGTGGAGGAACAGTAAAGTCATGAACATTGTCTCCTACTCATTCCTGGAGATAGTGTGTGTATATGGCTACTCCCTCTTCATTTACATTCCCACAGCGGTACGTATGGCTAAAGAGTGCCCCTCTCACAAGTCCTGCTTGAGAAGGTTTGCTGTTTCTTATAATATTGTTGATACTTGTTGAAATTTTAGAGACTGGGGGAATCTTTTGCTCTTTTTCTTGAAGCTTGTCTAGTGTCAAGGTGTCTTGTGGGTGCTGGAAAAACTCAGAACACATCATTTCCCCAGAGACTGCAAAACCGAGCAAGGTGCTGCTGGTGAGCCTGGCAGGCAGCCCAGGGCAGCCTC